AGGTATGGGACCAATATTTGGCACAAGTGGTGGGAGCGTACAATAACACGGAACACTCAACAACGGGGATCAGTCCTTTCATGATGCTAACGGGCAGAGAGAGGGCAATGCCAGTGACGTTCTTCTATCCGGAATATGAAGGGCAGAAGACATCACTTCGAGCATACATGAAGGAAGCAGTCAAGAGACAACAGGAGTTGAACGAACTATGCAGAAGGAATACAGCCCAAGAACAAATGACACAGCGTAGCAAGTACGATGAGAAAATACTTCAGGCGAAGCCATACGCTGTGGGACAGTATGTCTGGGTGTTCCAAAAAAAAGTCATACATCCAAAAGGGACGATGAAGCTATTGAAGAAACTGAGAGGCCCGTTCATGATAACAGAAGTGCACCAGTAGGGTCGGTTTTATCGCTTGAGCACAGGGCGTGCTGCCCACTTTGAGAAATTGAAACCTCATGTCCAGTCACCGGAAGACTGGTGTGTGCCGCAAAACATGGAAGGACTCGAGTACCTACTGATGGAGCCGGCGTGCGAGGTAAACGATAAGGGCACCAGAGAGAAGAATGATGGCAATGAAGGCCTGAGTATGGACGATATTGAAAAAATAGAGGTAGGCTCGGACGAAGGATCTTTCGCAGAAGAGGACTGGAACGAACCAGAGCAGGACGAGGTGCCAAAATGGACAGAGCCAGATCAGCCCATGACAGAAGAAACAAGAAGGGGCGGGCGCAAGAAGACATGTATGAGGTACAAAAAATATGGCGACGACTTCTTAGTTGACAAGATACAACCAGAAGAGCTAGGTGCAGAGATGGTGAATATGGGCGACCTAGTAGTGGATGAGGAGTGACAGATCATCAACGACAGTGATCACTCGTGGCAGAAGGACCACAACCTTACCAGAAAAAGAAGTGGACCTGGTACAAAGCGAGCTAGAAAGAAGAGAGAATACAAACCTGAGGATACTAGAGTGGATGCATGGTCTGCAGGATGACGACAAAGAAACGCAGAGCATCCAACAAAACGACATATCAGCAGAAAAGCATGCGAAAGGAGGAAACTTGTTGTTTGGTTGGACGGCGAAAGACCGACCATTAGACATACCACCTGTCAACGTGAGCCCATTACCATCGACGGGGACGTCAAAAAATATATTTTCCCGTGGAGTGGGGTTAGGACTTTGCCACGCCGAAAATTGATTGATAAAGAAACTCAGGGAAGTGAGGGAGATTATCGGACTGGAGTTGGATCAAGAAGAATTCGAGCCTACCATTGGAAAAATTTTCAAAACCAAGTTCGAGATACCAATTGAGTAATCAGAGAACATCTTGATGACGGACAGTGTTTTTAGCTTGTCAGATAGGACCAGCGCAATCTGCATAACAGCGGATATGAATTTCAACGCCAGATTGGAAACCAATATTAGGAGAGAGCACCAAAACGTGGAATTTCTGTTCAGGCATAGACAAGGACTGGGACGTCTAGTGGCACTTCCGCCCTCAGTTTTGCAAGTTCCTGACAAATACGTACGCTTTATGGTGACAAGAGTCAGTGAGAGAAATGTGATAGATCCTGATCACGTGATGATGGCATTGACACGATTGAGGGATTTCCTGGTGAAAAGAGGGATAATAGAGGTTTCGATGCCAGTCTACGATACAAACAGGGGCAGATTGAACCCTAGAAAACTATACGCTATCCTGCACGTGGTAATAGCTGAAACAGAGCTAATGGCACACGTACACAAGAAGTACTACTTTAGCATCGCCTGAGTTACTCGGGTGGACACAAGGGTTTTGAGTTGGGGGCCCGAGGCTCTTCAGCTGGGTGAAAGGGATGCACACGACAGGAAAATAGGTTTTAGTATAACTGGCATGACAATTGAAACTGAATTCAAGAGTGCCAGCAGCATTCAAGAATGCCAGCAGCATTCAAGAAGCGCGCGCTCGATAAGCTATACAGGTGCTTAGGGGATCTCGACTACACGCAAGTGGACGAGAGGCTGGCAGTGGTGCTTAACGCTATTCTGCAACTAGAGTCACAATGCGAGTGCAGGGAGTCGGGGACCGAGGCTGCGTTGATGGTGGGCTACACATTGGACGGATTTTCGATCCAGGAGAAAACCAGGTGGCTGTCCCGGAATATCGAAACCAGGTGGCTGTCCCGGTGGCTGCCCGGAACAAGAAAACCAGGTGGCTGTCCCGGAACATCGAAACCAGGTAGCTGTCCCGGTGGCTGTCCAGGAACAAGAAACCCCGGCTTGAACAATACGACAGAGTATGGTACAGGGGAATTTCACCTTCCGACCAAACCGCCGGCGGTGACTGAAACCCAGACTAGCTGCAGGGTGCTATCAATGATACGATCCCAGCAAACAGAAGAGTCATACCCTGACCTCAGCAACTTGAAAGGGGAATTTGAAAGGGTCCAAAGGGAAAGGGTACAAGCGAGTCTCGATAGAGACTACGGTCATTATTGATAGGGACAAGGTGATACTTGAGCAGCACCTGTTGAAATCAGAGTGGGACCAAGCCCAAAAACTACAACAGAGCGCGCCGAACTGCGATCAAATAAAATCAGAAATTGAGCGACTGCAGAGGAAACAGCAAGAACTCGCGACTGGCTCAGAACGTGAGGTGAAGACGTTGACTGACCCTTTGATGACACGATCGAGACCAGATTTTTAGGATAGAAGTTGATGAGACTCCTAGATCGGGTGGCCGTATTAACCTGGACCGCGTGGCCCAGGAGCAAATGAATGATGATTTGAACACATGGACACCACCATATACCGTCCCATCCTTGAGAGATCTTGAGTCAGGTCGGATCAAACCAATAATGGATATTGCACTACCGGGTCTAACACCCAGCTCAACTAGTGGTAGTCAGGCTGGCGTGAGGACTTCACGTCTCGAGAAGATGCATGAGAGGCTGCAGGCAAGGACTCCTGATAGTCCGGCACGCGAGGCTGAGCCACGCACATGGAGGGAGTACCCAGTGAGGAGTGCCATGATTGCCAACTACAAAAAGAACACAGATGGCGCATGCCACCGACACAACCGGGATGATTGGACGTCGGCCAACGCGAGAGGAGGGACGCCTTCAATGACGCGTCTTGGGTGCAATACTCACGCAGCCCAGAATACCCGAAGGCACGGTCCACTTGATCATTGGGGACAGTATTGTCAGGTTCCTGACGCGGATTCAGGCGCACTGGCAGGTGGTTATCTGTTGATGCCCCAGTTGTTGGCGTCGCTACAGATGCTGGAATTGGGAAAGGTGTACACGGTCACCCTAATTATGGGAACTAATGATGGGAACTAATGATGGGAACTAATGATGTTTCTAGAGGCGAAATGCGGAAGATGATGAGGCTTCAAGACAAGGTGAGCTGCATTCTTGAGGAGCTGAGGATCTACTTGGACCCTACCGTGCTCACGATTTGTACGGTTCCCTACATTATGATGGCAGACCAGAACGCGATGAACATGAATGAGAGGGTGCGCCACTTCAACGATACAATCAGGCAAATGAAGAAAAGAAGCGTCCTGCCCGCGAGGCTGCTCGTTGTCGCGAGAACGATGGAAGATTCCCTGCCGCAGAACTCTTCTTCGGACGGCATCCACTTCGATAAGTTTAGGGCTTCGGAGTGGCTTAATGGTGTGTTTCAGAGACATATCATTAAGCTAGAGTCGGATCTGGTGGAGACTAATCAGTTCATCTTTGGTCCGCCCCCGAGGCTTTCTTTATTTTCAGTTAGGCCAGTGGCTGACCGATTGGGAGGGAGAATTGATTCTAGAGTGAGTTCGAGGAGCAGCAGAAGATGGCAGCTGGGTTGGACACCTATGCCATGGAGAGGGATGAGGTGGAGTCTTCCACACCATAAAGCTCTGTGGCGTCATCAGTAGTTGTGGCGGAGAAGAAGAAGATTGCTCGAGCCCCGGCAGGAGGCCCTGTAGAATCAAGCAAGGCTAGGTATCTGGAGCGACTGAACGACAAAGAATTGGAAAGCCCAGGCCTCATAGTGGAACCATCGAAGCATCAAACGAGTGTAGAGAGAGTGTAGGCGACTCTTGCGCAGTTAAGAGCCGTAGAAAAACTTCTTGAGCCAAAAAGCATGATATTCCCCGATACCGCTTACATGGGCCCGAAACTTTCAGAAGATCCAAGATACGGGAAACCCCATGGGACCTCACAGGTGGCCAAGACTCTGGCAGTTTATGATCGCTCGGACCCTGGAGCAGCGAGGGTGATCATCGTGGCGGGGTCACACTTCGATGAAACCTTCCCGAATCTATTTTGTCCAGAGACGTTGGTGTATCTGCTACCAGGCGCGGAATTCAATCAGATGTTGTCTCTGATTGTGGCAATGAATTCGGAAACACCGTGTGAGCCGGATGTATTGTTATTCGCGGAGATGAACTATCATCTGCATGCCGCGGGATTACTTGAGCATATGAGAAGTGGTGAACCGAGGACAAAGAAGATCTGGGAGGCAAATTAGACATTGTTTGCAGCATTGAATTAGGTGCGGGAGTTGGTGGCTTCTCGGTTGGGTTCAAAAACGAAAGTGGTATTCACATCATCAGCAAGTTATGCAGATATTCCACCAGCTCTACACTTGATAGCAGAAGGCTAATTGCAGCCCCTAATCGAGAACTCGAGCCAGTAAAATTGAGGCTTCTGAAGTCGGAAGTGGCGGCGGCAGGGCAGATGTGCCTCATGCCCTGAGGGGTTTCTATGAGCTCGCAGACATATTGATTATGCTGGACGAGATGTTTCGTCTTCAGATCTCGAATCATGCTCGGCAACTGAAGTTCAATCCGGAAAAAACGCGATAAGCCACTTAACCGCCATTGCCGGGAGCTGAGAAGCAATTGGAATCGATGGTGTATCGTTTGACTCAAGAGGAAGGGAGATTCACGTTCCTGACCCCAAGGCTGGAGAATGTGACCAACAAAACGAGGGAAAGCGCACCTTTCCTGATCAAGCAGATATGAGGGAGGACCAAATCGAGATCTCCGAGAAGAGGGATTTGACGGTGGAGACGTTCGTTACGTCAGCAAAAAGGATCACTATCGCTGGCTTCTGGAGAGAACATGCAAAGGGCGAATTGAGGACCCGGAAAACACATGAAATCTTCAGACTCTTAACTCATGCTGGGAGAACAAGTATATCGATAAGGTATTCTATGCGGGAAATATCAATTTTGAAGCATTCGTGCAGGATCTCTTGAGCACATCGATAAACCTGCTGCTTGGTAATGCGGTCTGATCCTTTAGGTGTGATCAGACGGAGTGACTTTTATCTACGGACCCACCGTGTCATATGCCTTCCTGGATCCGCTTTTGACCGCCTACCGACACTCAGTCGCTTATGTGAGCCTGATCAGCTTTTCGGATGGGACGGCGCTGATTTGGTGCAGACAAGAGAATTTGAGAGCACAAATGATTGAAACGGTGTTAATCGGAAAACTGAAGGACCAAGAGCTGATAATGCTCAATTTCAATGGCCAGCTGCAGTGGAAAATGAAGGGGAACAAGAGGGTCCTCATGAGGCCTAGCCGAAACTCTGGAACCTATATCCTGTGGCGAAGAACACTAGAGAAGTCTTGAGAAATCCAGCGTGGAAGAAGAGCTTTGATTTGGTGGAAAAAGAAATTGAGACAATCCTTGAACGAGACGTGTTACCGGTTACCATCCCGGAGTTCCCGACGGTGAGGTGATTGAAATTGGGGATGAAGAGCCCAATGGTGGTCCCGTCGATAGATGCTAGAGAGGCTGTTGCAGAAGTTCCGGACAGGTCGGAGACCTGGCAGAACCTCGCAGTTGTGAAATTTTTGGCACAACTAACGTGGGACTAGCCATTCTATCTCCAGATTCATACGGAACTACGATGCTGGCGAAGAGAAGCCTTTATGAGCTCCTTTCGGCATAACCACGAACAACAACAACAACAACAACAACAACAACAACAACAACAACAACAACAACAACAACAACAACAACAGCAGCAGCAGCAGCAGCAGCAGCAGCAGAGGACGTTCACACACAGCTGGGACCCCATATTCATCGGGTATTCGGCGGCAGTGTACTTCCACACATGTGAAATCAAGATAAATTCGTGAACCATTCAAGCCAAGAAGATGCGGGGTTCAATACCTCCCAAGTATGAAGTCCGGGAAGTGATTAAACTGCTTGAGAAAGCTGGATTTGAAAACAAAGAGCTGGTATACGATAGCGGGAGAATGATCGTGGAAGAGGTTCATGTAGTTCTGGAGGACGATATGAAGTTGAGCCCGAGGAGGCAGTAGGCACCTTATGGACGGGTGGAGTTGGAGTTGCAGCACGAGGGACGAAAGCTGAACGCGGCGGGGGCTCTGTACGTATCCCTAACAGAATATAAAGCAGTAGATCCTGCAACGCCTTCACCCCTGCCAGTCGACTCGATACTCCTGGGGACAAGAGGATCCTACCATTGGAAAAAAGATTCGAAGACGCACTGGACAGGGAACCAACTGATCGGGAGAGGAAGAAAGGATGGATGAAACCCTCAGCGAGGCTGGCGAAGATATGGAGCTAGGGCCTACGCCCAATGAAAAAGTGGTGACCGGGATTTTTAGTCCAGGCACCACGCGTGAGTTGCTACAAGACTTGAGCGCAGATTATTGGGCGTACACGGTCACACCACCCTTGGGATCCTCTCGGAAGAATCTGGAGTTGTCACTGGCGAGCGAGCCCTCGAATTTGGTCATGGTACGCTTGGGTGACACCTTCGGAGGAAACAAATGGTTGATCTTGTATACGCTAGATCAGAAAGGGTGACAGGATATCTTGAGCGAGTTTAATCGAAAGGTGGAAAGGGAAGTGAAAATGGATGACTTCAAAGAAGAGCTGTGGGACACTGTAATAAGATTTGAGAACCTGTCTTGATGGCCACGGGACTGGACGAGAAGGCGAGATAGGAGTTGCTCCGCAAAATGATTCGCTTGCGGGAAACGAAGCCTAATGCCGACCCTAAAAAATAAAAATACAGCTCCACTCTGAAAGAAAAAATTAGGAATAAAGAATTTAAGACCAAAATTTATTAAAAAACTAAATCTAGTTTCATAATTAAAAATTTTAATAGTCCTAAGAGACAAATGAGGAAGACCTGGACAAATAAGGGGATTCAGTGAAAATCATGACTGCGCCTCCGAGTGAAGGAGTGAACTCGAGGAAAAGGAAACGAAAGGTAGAAGAGCGAGTCCATCGGTGGAGGCGGTTCCAGGTAAGAAATTGAAGGCGACGGCTCCAATAGTTCTAGCGAGATGGAAAACGATAGCCTACAAAGGCAACTCAGTGACCCGAAACTTGGCTGAAGCATTGATCGAGCTGGAAAACGGAACAGTTCCGTGACGGAAGAAGAAATCAAACCCCAAAAGGCGAATGCTAAGAAAGGCTCCGTCAGTGGACAAATGTGGGAAAAAGACATTGGCAAAGAATGGATCTCTAGTCGACACCATGGATCTCGAGAAAGCAGGTAGCAAGTGACCCCCTCGAAAGAGGGTTGATGAGAAGTACTGTTCGCCCCTGGTGGATAGTCCTGGATACTGCGAAACAACTGGAGAGTTGCCTGAAAAAAGTTGATTGCGAAAGTCCAGAAAAGGTCAAAATTGGGCTACCCAACAGTCCTATCAACGATCGCAAGAACGTGGCATGAGCTGAGAAGCAATTGGAATTGATGATGTATCGTCTGACTCAAGAGGGAGGGAGATGGACATTCCTGAACAAAAGGCTGGAGAATGTGACGAACAAAATGAGGGAAAGCGCACCTTTCCTGATCAAGCAGATATGGGGAGGACCAACTCGAGATCTCCGAGAAGAGGGATTTGACGGTGGAGACGTTCGTTACTGCAGCAAATGAGATCACTATCGCTGGCTTCTGGAGAGAACATGCAAAGGGCGAGTTGATGACCAGGAAAACACATGAAATCTTGAGATTCTTAACTCATGCTGGGAGAAGAAGTATATCGATAAGGTAGTCTATGCGGAAAAACCAATTTCGAGGCATTCGTGCAGGACTTCTTGAGCACATCGATTAACTTGCTGCTCGCCCTGTATCTGGTGTATCCCCGGCACCTATTCAACATGGGTCCTGTGTACATGTTCAGCAGAGGCGTGGAAACCCTCAGAATTGACGGATACTTGACGCTAATGTTATTGACGCATGGGAAGCTGGCGGCATTCAATCGACTGATGAAGTAGGAGATTCCAAAGCCACACCGAGTCTTGAGTCTTATTCATACAAGTGTGCTGCTGGACTAAAAACCCTACTGATGGAGTACTCCTTGATGCATAATCGAAACTTGACAGGATAGAAGAAGAACTCGAGAACCAAAGAGGAGATGAGAGAAGTGAATTGAGTTATGCCTCTTCTGACCGATCTGTGCTTGGCATTGCGGTCTGATCCTTTAGGGATGATTAGAGGGCTAGGGGAGTGATCAGAGGGCTTTTATCTACAGACCCACCGTGTCATGTGCCTTCCTGGATCCACTCTTGACCGCCTAAAGACACTCAGTCGCCTCCGTGAGTCTGGTCAGTTTTTTGGATGGCACGGCGCTGAATTGGTGCAGACAAGAGAACTTGAGATCAGAAATGAGTGAAACGGTGTTATTCGGAAAAGTGAAGGACCAAGAGTTGATAATGCTCAATTTCAGAGGCCAGCTGCAGTGCAGAATGGGGCGGGGGGAACGAGACGGTCCCATTGAAGCCTATCCGAATTTCTGGAACCTATATCCTGTGGCGTGGAGAAATCCAGCGTGGAAGAAGGTTTTTGATTTGGTGAAAAAAGAAATTGAGACAATCCTTGAACGAGACGTGTTACCGGTTACCATCCCGGAGTTCACCACGGTGAGGTGAATGACACTGGGGATGAATAGCGCAATAGTGGTCCCTTCAATAGATGCTAGAGAGGCTGCGGAGCAGCAGCAGAGGACGTTCACACACAGCTGGGACCCACTAATCATCGAGTATTCGGCGGCAGTGTACTTCCACACATGTGAAGTCAAGATAATTTCGTGGACCATTCAAACCAAGAAGATTCGGGGTTCAACGCCTCCCAAGATTGAAGTCCGGGAAGTGATTAAAGTGCTTGAGAAAGCTGATTTGAGAACAAAGAGCCAGTATACGATAGCGGGAGAATGATCGTGGAAGAGAGTCATATAGCTCCTAAGGACGATAAGAAGTTGAGCACGAGGAGGCAGTAGGCACCTTATGGACTGGTGGAGTTGGAGTTGCAGCACGAGGGACGGAAGCTGAACGCGGCGGGGGCTCTGTACTTATCCCTAACAGAATATAAAGCAGTAGATCCTGGAACGCCTTCACCCCTGTCAGTCGACTCGACACACCTGGGGACAAGAGGATCATTCCAGTGGAAAACAGATTCGAAGACGCTCTCGACAGGGAACAACCTGAATCGGGAGAGGAAGAAAGGATGAATGAAACCCTCAGCGAGGCTGGCGAAGATATGGAGCTAGGGGCTACGCCCAATGAAAAGATGGTGACCGGGGTTTTTAGTCCAGGCACCACGCGTGAGTTGCTACAAGACTTGAGCGCAGATTATTGGGCGTACACGGTCACACCACCCTTGGGATCCTCTCGGAAGAATCTGTAGTTGTCACTGGTGAGCGAGCCCTCGAATTTGGTCATGCTACGCTTGGGTGACACCTTCGGAGGAAACAAATGGTTGATCTTGGATACGCTAGATCAGAAAGGGTGACAGGATATCTTGAGCGAGTTTAATGGAAAGGTGGAAAGGGAAGTGAAAATGGATAACTTCAAAGAAGAGCTGTGGGACACTGTAGTAGGATTTGAGAACCTGTCTTGATGGCCACGGGACTGGACGAGAAGGCGAGATAGGAGTCGCTCCGCAAAATGATTCGCTTGCGGGAAACGAAGCCTAATTCCGAGCCTAAATCATAAAAAGACAGCTCTACTCTGAAAGAAAAAATTAAGAATAAAGAATTTAAGACCGATATTGATTAAAAAATTAAATCTAGTTTCATAATTAAAAATATTAATAGTCCTAAGAGTCAAATGAGGAAGACCTGAACAAATAAGGGGATTCAGTGAAAATCATGACTACGCCCCCGAGTGAAGGAGTGAAGTCGAGGAAAAGGAAACGGGAGGTAGAAGAGCGAGTCCCTCTAGGGAGGCGGTTCCAGGGAAGAAATTGAAGGAGACGGCTCCAATAGTTCTAGCGAGATGGAAAACGACAGCCTACAAAGGCAACTCAGTGACCCGAAAATTGACTGAAGCATTGATCGAGGTGGAAAACACGAAAACTCGTTGACGGACGAAGAATTCAAACCCCAAAAGGCGAATGCTAAGAAAGGCTCCGTCAGTGGACAAATGTGGGAAATAGACATTGGCAAAGAATGGATTTCTAGTCGACACTATGGGTCTTGAGAAAGCAGTTAGCAAGTGACCCCTTCGAAAAAGGATTGACAAGAAGTACTGTTCGCCCCTGGTGGATAGTCCTGGATACTGCGAAACAACTGGAGAGTTGCCTGAAAAAATTTGATTGCGAAGTGTCCAATAAACGTCGAAATTGGGCTACCCAACAGTGCTATCAACGATCGCAGGAACGTGGTGTGAGCTGAGAAGCCATTAGAATTGATGGTGTATCGTCTGACTCAAGAGGGAGGGAGATGGACTTTCCTGAATCCAAGGCTGTGACGAACAAAATGAGGGAAAGCGCACCTTTCCTGAACAAGCAGATATGGGGAGGACCAACTCGAGATCTCCGAGAAGAGGGATTTGACGATGGAGACGTTCGTTACGTCAGCAAATGAGATCACTATCGCTGGCTTCTGGAGAGAACATGCAAAGGGCGAGTTGATGACCAGGAAAACACATGAAATCTTGAAATTCTTAACTCATGCTGGGAGAAGAAGTAAATCGATAAGGTAGTCTATGCGGAAAAACCAATTTTGAGGCATTCGTGCAGGACTTCTTGAGCACATCGTTTAACTTGCTGCTGGCCCTGTATCTGGTGTATCCCCGGCACCTATTCAACATGGGTCCTGCGTACATGTTCAGCAGATGCGTGGAAACTCTCAGAATTGACGGATACTTGACGCTAATG